AGATGATGGGTTCTCAGTCTCCACTTTGCAAAGATAACGTTTGCTTCGATTCACCTCAAAGGGACTCTCCAGTCAATTCGAAGTTCGAGGAAACTGGAATTCTTAGTGGCTTTGTGAAAGCATCTAATTTGGACACATCTACTAATTTGGGTGATCAATCAACTCAATCCATCCATGAGCAGACGAGTGCCATGCCACCCGAAGTCTCGATTGCTGAATCCGTTTCGGAGGAGGTTCGAACTTCACCCATCCCCGTGAACATATCTAATATGGACACAAATTTCAACATGTGTGATGGGGTGTCGACTCATGAAGCCCAAGGTAATTCGAATGTTTTAACTTCAACTATTCTTGTTTCTCTTATCTTATCTTCCACTATCGAACAACCATCATAGACACTTCTACTTCCTTACCTCCATTTATTACACCTACACCCACTTCATTACCAGCTTCCACTACTTCACGCACTTATCACAACATTCTAAATCAACCTATTACCTCGATTTTTCCCTCACAATCAACCGAAGGTACAAAATCTAGTCTAGAGGTTGATCAAGATGATGATGAAGTTATGGTATCGCTTGTTGATATCCAGTTTGATCATGAGGAGGATAACTTTCCTGATCATATGCTTATGTCAGGAAAGCAGTTCAAGATCTTGAATCGTATGCTGAATTCATTACTACAACTTCAAGCTGACTCTGGAAATCGAAATGTTGTGTCTGGGATCGAAGTTGATGTGCTATTGAAGTCTGAAGAGCATAAACTGAAGACTGCCATGTAACAAATTGAAACGAAGCACGAAGAACGGTTGAAACGTCATGTTGAGAATTTTCAATATGAGGTAAAAGAGCTTCATGAAGTAGCCAAAGAAAGACATACTCTTTTTGTCGAAGAAGTCCAGAAAGTGGAGCAGTCTGTTACTCTCAAGGTCGAGTCTCTTAGGTCTGAATTGTCGAAGGAGGTGACTAAGCTTGAACAAAGTCATTCTTCTCTTCATCTAAAGTTGGATATTATTTCTGAGGCCATTCGCAAACTTGTTGAAAATTTCCATACTTTTTCAACTTTGGATTCGTAAGTTTTCACCAAGATGGACGATTTGTTGGCAAGCTTGAAGGAGTCCGTTTTGAAGCTTGAACCTTCTCCAAAATCTTCTCTATCTCCAGAGTCATTGTCTCAGATGTTTTCTTCGTTGGAGTCAAATTTAAAAGCTGAACTAGCTCCTCTTCTTAAATTGGTGGATTTGATGCCAACTGATGCCCCACCTGTTAAAACAGGGGTGCAAGGGGTAGATTCCAACTCACTTCCTAAGTCTGTGTCAACAACCTCTACCACAGTAACTTCAAAGCCATTGACCAAAGGCATAGTTATTGGTTCAAGTGTTGGGGGTTCAAGTTCGAAGCCACCATCATCAAAGGAAGAAATGGAAAGCAAAGGGAAGGGTATCAAGGTCGATCCTACTAAAGAAGACAAAAAGGTTGCCTTGGAAAAAGAAATGGAAAACAAAGGCAGATCAACAACATTCTAAGACAAAGGCAGAATGATCCTCCAAGCCTTGAGAAAGGTGATCCAACAAAGCCATTTTGTTACGAAACTATTGAAGATATAGTTTTTAATGGGATCATGCATACCTTTGATAAGGTTACTAAAAAGAGCTTTGATATTGAAAATACGGATTTCAGTCAGTTGGATTTTCCTATCAATGAAATGATGTTCATTTTAGCTCAGTATCAGATTCTGGATAAGTTCGAAGACAAGGAAGAATACAAAAGATTAAAGCTAAGATTTCATGTAGTACTTGGTAAAAGAGAAGAGGATATCTGGTCATTGGTGAAAATAGTGAAAGTTCTCAATATTTTGAAAGATGTTTTGTTCGAAGGGGTGTTGCAGAATTATTGATTTCACTTGGTCAGAGCTAACAACGTTGCTTGTGATTTCTCAGTTGCAGATTTTCCTTTGATGAATCTCAATGATCTCATCAGTGTTGCGAAAATCTTGAGAAGTGTGGATGTATCGAAGCTTCAATCGACCAACAAAGAAGAATTTTTGATTGGGTTCGCACATATCAAGCTGTTTATTGACAATTATTATGATTGTCTTGCCATGACAGATGTGGAACTTACCTTAGCAACGGGTAGACAAGTTACTGGGCCACAATCATTGTTAAAAGGTCAAACAAGCTTGAATAATTTCGAAGATGGAGAGATATGTGTTAAACCTTTGGGTGTTGTGTTCATTGGGAAGAATAAGAAGGAGAAGATTACAAAGTTCTTATTCCAAGTTTGTGATGTGGAAAAGTAAACGAATTCACAGTACACAAATCTTCTTGTTCGTATCAATAACTGCAAAAGAAATACAAAAGGAGATAAAGCAGAGATTCGTAAGACAATCAGTTGGTACACAGAGATTCGAAGAGTACTTCATCAAGCAACTAAGATGCTAATGACTTAGGATTCGACACTACTCACAAAGGGGGAGAATGTAGAGGTCGAAATATTTTGTGAGGTGTCGAAGGGTCTTATGTCTTGTATTAGTGTTGAAGTCTGTAATAATGTTTCGTTGTATGTATTTCATAAGGGCCCTCTTAGATGTCGAAGCATTCAGGTTTTAGCCCTTATGTATATTTTACTTACTTCTGTCATTCCTATAAATAGGGATGGGTACTAGAGATAGAGTAACTTTTGGTCCTTCGTGTTCTTTACTCTATAACACTTTTGTATCTTTCAGAAGTATTAATTGAGCCAAACATATTTTATTTACAACTTGTGTTCTAGATTCAACTCGTACTCTGATTTCATTAAGTTTACTCGATTCTCTAGAACTACACTTATATATAGTGAATAGTATTTTGTTCATCAATGATCTACATCCATCGGAGACTCAAGTGATATTTCGCATGCATTTCTAAGTATAAAACTTTAATTGTATTAGAAAGGTGGAATATACTACATAAGGTCTATTACATAGTGTGTTCACGGTAACTTAGACCAGTGAACGATGAACTAATTTTATCGATTGTCACAATGTTCCTCCACGTGATCCATGCAGGGGCGGATCCAAGGGGTATCTCGGGATACCTCTCAAAAAAAATTCGGTAGTGTAATGTTTTTTTGAAAACTTGTGTTTTATGTAGTGTGTATATATATATATATATATATATATATATATATATATATATATATATATATATATATATATATATATATATATATGCATCCCTTCACTTATAAGCACAAACAAACAATTAGTCTATTGGTAAAGGTGCTTGCTTATTGAAACAAATGTCTTCCTTACAAGTCCTTTGTTTACATTTCTTTTATTTTTCCAGTTATTCTATTCTTTGATTTTCCCAGCTACTCTCTCCCACATCGCCAAACACATGTAAACTCAATTATTTTCATCTATTATATAAACTTGATATCTACTTTGAGTCCCACATCGATTCAAGTATCAAAAGATACTTCAACTTCATATTTATATAACAAGACTTGAAGTTAGCTAAGGATTCGATTAAGGTTTGGGTTTAAAACCAAAACCAACCAGGGAAACCCAAGTAGAAACTGAAAATCGAAACACCGAACCGATGGCTTTGGATTTGATTCAGTTTTAAAAGTTTCAAAACCGAGGTTGTCGGTTTTGGGTTTGGTTTTAGGTCAAAACTGACCTGACTCGCCCCATGCTCAGCCATTGCGGTAATACCCCGGAAAAAAATAGGATACCCCTTTGCTTTGAGTCTAGCTCCGCCATTGGCTCCATGTACCTCCAAGTGCTCAATGTATTCAACAAGACTTCATAACTCAACAACATAAATTCTCACTAAAAGCCAACTATAATCTTTATATGGTTCACAACGAAAGGGTACCTCTCCATGTTGAAGTATGGGGTTGAGGGAAAGATACAACGTCCATTGCATGGCCATGATGAACACTCTCACCCATTTGATTTACCATATTAATTGTGGCTTGCTTCCTTAACATAGTTGTTCCTCATTCTCCGTGCATAAAGCTTGACCCATTTAAGGAACATGCCATCTCAGATGCGAGCTATGAAGGGATTATAGAGGCTTTGAGAGTCGTTTGGAACTTTAGGTTCGAAAGTTTTGACTCTTAGAAGCCACATATATCCAAAGAGTATGTCACATCATCTTTTGTAACCGAAAGAACCTATGAAATCAAATACCTATTGTAAAATAAAAGATAAGTGAAATTTTATAGTCGAATAAGTCATAAAAGATGTGAAGGTAAACTAATGACATGATATAAAATATTGGGACTTTTATGACATTAACCCTATATCTTATAGATATTTATATTATTGAAAATAAAGCTCTAAAGTGTAAAATTTACACTAATATTAAACATTTAAAAACATTGCGACTATATTATTCTTATCGGTTTTTAGTTAATTAAATATTAATTTCAAGAACTGTTATCATTAAAAATATGAACTATACTTAAAAATGAGATTTATATGACGTAATTTTATGTAACATCTGAAAATATTAGGTAATTAAAAAAGAACACTATTTAAAAACTTAACCATTAAAGGATATATACTTTTTCAATATAAACGACAGTATAATAATAATAATAATAATAACAATAATAATAATAATAAACTAAATTGGAGGTGCACTTAATTCGCATTCGTAAATAGGTTAGTAGTACGTAACTTTATTACACCAATTTTGGAGATGCACTTAATTGGCATTCATATATAGGTTAGTACTTGTAATATCTTTATTACATGAATATATATATATATATATATATATATATATATATATATATATATATATATATATATATATATTTTCCATCTTATATCTCACACTTGAACCAGCAACCTCCCTAATACCACCGACAAGGCCCATTCTGTTATGTAGAAAGTACATTATGTTACTTGTTTTTTCGCACACCAGCATCAACGGTAGCGGCCATGTCCTATCTCCTTTATGTAATCTAACTATCAAATATCAAACAGAAATCCAGTATTTCGATATGCTTCTCCTTTTAGTTACGTTGTTGGCTTCCATTGTCCTGTTTCTTTACCGGAGAAGGTCTCATCGTGTTATCAATTGGGTCGTTTTTGGCATGACCCCGGATCTCATTCTAAATGCTTACCGTGTTCATGATTTCTTCACAGATCTCATCAAATTGAGACATGGTACTTTCTTGCTTAAAGGTCCTTGGTTTGCCAACATGGACATGCTCCTCACCTCCGACCCAGCTAACGTTCACCACATCTTAAGCAAGAACTTCCCCAACTATCCCAAAGGTCCCGAGTTCCGTAAAATCTTTAATATCCTTGGAGATGGAATCTTTAACTCCGATGATGAGTTATGGGAAATCCACAGGAAAACAACCATGTCTCTACTCAAACACCCCGACTTCAATCTGCACCTGGAAGCAAATATCAGGAACAAGATTGAGAAAGGGCTTTTACCTCTCCTTGAATTTGTCTCCCATGATCAACAAGAGACCGATTTGCAGGAGATATTTCAAAGGTTTACATTTGATGCTATCTGTCTATTGCTTTTAGATTATGATCCTGAAACCCTGTCTCTGCATTTACCATATAATGCATGTGAGAAGGCCTTCACGGACGCAGAAGAAGCTCTTCTATGGAGGCATCTGTTGCCGGAAAAAGTTTGGAAGCTGCAACACAGATTCACTATAGGCAAGGAGAAGAAGTTGATCGAAGCTTCTAAGGCTTTTGATGAATTTATATATAAATGTTTGTCAAGGAAAGAAAACGAGCTCACTGATGTTGAAAGAGTAGAGAAGGAGGTCGGATTGTTAAAGTTCTTGATCACTAGTTTCCAAGGACAAACAGGGACTTCAGGGAACTCAAGAACGTTTTTAAAAGACACCATATTCAGTCTGATGATTGCCGGAAAGAGACACTACAAGCACAGGTCTTTCTTGGTTTTTTTATCTCATCGCCAAAAACCCTAGCGTAGAGAACAAGATCCGAGAGGAGATTGAGAAGCAAGTGGGAGATTCAAAATGGAAATATCTTAATGCAAAAGAGTTGGAGGGACTGGTGTATCCTGGAGGTTTATGTGAAGCATTAAGACTCTATCCCCCTGTCGCTTTGGAGCACAAGGCACCATCGGACGCAGATGTACTCCCAAGTGGGCATGTAGTTAATAAGCACAGCAGGATAATTCTGTCGTTCTATTCAATGGGAAGGATGGAATGGATATGGGGGAAGGATTGCTTGGAGTTTAAACCGGAGAGATGGTTTTCAGCGAGAGGAGGGGTAAAACACGAACCATCTTATAAATTTACAGCGTTTCATGCGGGGCCACGAACGTGCTTGGGTAAGGAAATGGGTTTAATTCAGATGAAAATGGTGGCGACTGCAATCATTTATCATTACCATGTAGAGTTGGTTAAGGATCAAGAGGTTTGTCCAGCTGATTCTATTATACTCCAAATGAAATATGGTTTGAAGGTTAGGCTCTTCCCTCTCAGAGAGATCAAAACTTAAGATCAAGAGGTTTTGGGCATGCTTTTCATGAATTAAGTTTTCTTCATTTAAAAGCAATAATTAAATGCAACAATTATTTCGGATATCATTACAATGTTCGTGTATAATATTGTAAAATTTAAAAAATATAGTGATCGGGAATAATTGAATTATGAGTTGATGCTAAGCATATCTGTGAAATATAGCAGTAGACGTTTTTTATCTAATTAAGGAGGGGGGGGGGGGGGGGGGGGCATGACAGATGCTAATAAACCCATACTAATTACAAATGTTGATTTGTCTTATTTTTCGTGGATAGATTTCCTCAATTCGATCAATGTTTAATTCAATCTTTAATAATATAAAACATGAAAAGTTACGTGGATGATCTCAACCCATTTTTATATCTTTCTCTTCTTCCTGTAATGATGACTTTATATCTTAATCTAATGGATATATTATACACTTAATTGGTGTTAAGATTTAAAGACTACTGGAATGAGATGTGGTACCCTCTCAAACAAAACAATAAATGTTCACATTATATATATATATATATATATATATATATATATATATATATATATATCTATATATATATATATATATATATATATATATATATATAGAGAGAGAGAGAGAGAGAGAGAGAATCATTTGAGAACTCATATATTTCCGAGAACCTGAGAACCAAATAATAGCCGTTAGATCAAATTAATAGAAGGTCAAGATGATTTGTGGCATTTTTGTAAATAATTGGAAAAGATAAGAAACGGGGGTATGGTATTGAATTTAATTGAAGGGCATTTATGGTACTCAGATCATTTCCATCAAATTAATCGATGTCATATTTCTCCCAAATTCTTCCATCGTCTCTTCATCCCTCTCTCTCTCACACAACTTCGTCGTTGATTGTTCCCCAATCCAGAACCATCGTCTCCTCCGTCAACCGTCTCCCTTATTCATTGAATCGAGTAAGGTGAAGACTCTGGATCCTTTGAATCTGAATTCTGAACCACAAAATACGGTGGTTCATCTTCAGCCCATTGTTCGTGTTCATCTTCGATTGTAGTCGTAGATCGCCGAAGCCCTAAGTCATTTGGTAGTGGATCGATGGAGTATCCATCGTCACGTCCTAAAGAAACCGTATTGAAATCAAACTCACACTCATTGGAACCAAACTCAATAGCATCGATGCATCAGAGAAGCTCTGTAACAGTTACCCTTCCATTCCGATAGATCACTCAAGTAAATGATGAAGTAGAGCACATTGACCGCCGATCACCGTCCTAAATCCAAGCACACCTTCGATTGGGTGCTCTTCCACGTCTGTCGTGTTGGCGACACTGCTCATCTTGTCTACGCCATCTCCAGTAAGTTCCTTCTCGCGTGCAATTTCTCTGTTTCTCATCACTGTAATTTAGTGTTTCAAGTTCAATATAGTGAATGATAGGGAGAATCTCGATAGGATATATGAATGCATATTGTGTGCTTGTTGTAGCACATTATGCCCTAGCTATTAGTGGAATCCTGAGTCTTACCTTGGTTATGCTGCTATAATACATTCCTCAATATTTTATCAATGTACACAACTGGAGCATGGCAATCATAAACAGAGGTGAAGATGCTGATGGTTTTTCATTTGGAACTGCTAAAATCTGTATATTTGGTCTATCTACTATCTGTCAAGCTGCTTCATCGGAGACACCAACATCCTCTGTTATTCAAGGCATCTGTTCAACTGCATTTCTCAATGTTCTAACCTTCTTTATTTCATGATTCGAGGGACAAGGAATCTTCCAGATTGTAAATAAAGATGTTGCAAACATCTTTGATTCTCCAAAAACATTCTCTGAGCTCAAAGAAAAGTTTTCTAATGAAAATGAAGCTCCATCTGTAATATTATCCAAGTTTCGTGCATTATGTATGCTTTGGATTTTCTTTAGCTGTCCTAGAAATTCACTTGCAGCCTACTTTGAGAAAATGAAGCTCTGTACTTCTAGTTCAACTTCAACAGATGCTGTTCCTGTTACCATTCCCAATGGGGGGCAGTATTTTCTCAGTCAGGTGACAGCTGGACTTGACACCTGTGATGTGAAAGGTACCGTAAACCTCTGATTTATATTTTTTTAGTCAATGATAATCCTACCTGGTTGGAAATTAATTGTAAATGAAAATGATATGTTTTGCTTAAATTTTTCATAGACAACTCAGTTTCTGCGTTTTTTCTACTTTGCCTTGATAGGTCGATTAAAGCAGCCCTAGACAAGTTGGATTTATCCCAAAATGATGGGGCGGATGTATACGAACTTGTATCTCACTGCATCAAAACCTTTAAGCATGGTTCAGAATATTGAAACGATATCAGATTTCTCAAGATTTGGCTCATATATGTAATCTCGTTTCCCTCTTTATCTCTGTCTATATGGATGCACTGCATTAGCTCCAAATGAAGTGATATAGTTTGTTGCTTGAGGTCAAGACATCACTTTGACATACAAAATTTAAGCAATGTATATGAACAAATTAACCCTGGATTTATGATTTATCTATCTGCATTGCCCTTTATAAAGCTTAGTGTAGTTTTTAACTTAGAATAATTTGTTGGTAATACATTCATTTATCATCACAGAAAAATTTCTCTGTAATAAAACAAAAAAAACGCTTTTGTGTTTGCAGATGGATTTTAGTCCAAACTATGAGGCTGTTTTTAGGAAAATTGAACAGCTTAAAATTTGTTTGGATAAAACTTTGCTATATGAGTCATATGCATTGTTGTTGGAAGTAAAGGGAATGATGAATGAGGCTCATTTAGTGTATCAGTCAGGCATTTCAAGGTCCTTACAATCTTCTCCTCTTTATATCATATCTATGTCTAATCTTATGACCAAGGGGTTATAATTTAAAATTAAATTGTTATTCTCTTAATGGTTTTCATTGCTAATGGGTATAGTGTCAAGTTTTGTTATAGGAATGCTGAACCAATAGAGAAGTTGAAGAAGGCACACACCTATTTTCTTGAAAGAATGCAAGCAATAATAGATGATTGTTCACATAAGAAGGTATCTATGATATGATGCTTGAAACTGTTTGTTCTTTTTTTATTATGAGTTTGCTCTTCAAATATGGTTATAATATTTAACAATGTCAATTATGGTTATTTGTAGGTGGATGGAGGATCCCCTCTTAACAGTGGTTCAAATTGTATGAATCCATGGTCAATCTCTACTCTCTACAATCTATTGCAAAAGATGAATGCTCAAATATCAAAATACACAGTAAGAAACTTTGGTCATTCATTGTTGGATGTTATAACCTGTAATTCACAGTTGAGGTTTTTTTCATTGACTAAAAAAAGATAAATCAGGGTTTCAATCATGCGATTCATATGATTTACATGTAATTCACATGTAAATCACATATGAATTACATGTGATTCACATGTAAATCGCATGTAATTCACATATGAATTACATGTGCTTCACATGTAAATCGCATGTAATTCACATATGAATTACATGTGCTTCACATATGAATTACATGTGCTTCACATGTAAATCACATATGAATTACATGTGTTTCACATGTAAATCGCATGTAATTCACATATGAATTACATGTGCTTCACATGTAAATCGCATGTAATTCACATATGAATTGCATGTGATTCACATGTAAATCGCATGTAATTCACATACGAATTACATGTGTTTCACATGTAAATCGCATGTAATTCACATACGAA